GAAGTATAGTTTGAAGAATGAGCAACAATTAAGGATAACCAGCAAGTCTGACGAATAAGGTTTACTGGTCAGGAAGGAGACTGGATCTAGATTCTCACCTCCAGGAGTAAATCCTATTAACAGTCTGTGGGTAAGAGAGAAGTCACACCCAAAGCCCACTTCAGCCCCAGGGAATTCCTGAAAGGAGCACTTACGTACCAAAATTGGATTTGAAACCAAAACGGAAACAATACTTACTTTGCTTTACTTTTCAATGACCCCAATAAAGAAGAAGCAGGTTGACGCCAGTCATCTAAAGCAGTACACAGCCTGAAAAGCTTGGGTTAAAGTTTTAGACCAAAGAGCCTAAAAGGCCATGGGTTTGAAATGCTCGTACTTTTTCATTTGTGTCATATTGGTTCCCAAATTCCATTTGATTTAGGATTCAACTAAAACAGCATGGATTACCCACCCATGGATATCAGCGGTCGGGCTGGTCAAGGAGCCGACATTCTTGGACAACCAACCACCTCCATGCACAAAAGTCCTGATGCAACATTGCCTATCTTGGAGCAGGACTGGAGCCCACAAACACTGCTCACTGCTCCTCCCTGCTCATAAAGTTCATATACTAGCTCAGGAGGCAGGCCCCGAGCCCTCAGGCTACGTAGCAGCAGCACCCTTGTGAAAAGGCCTTGTGATGTTAGCAAGTTTCTTCCTGGCCCAGAGGCTAGACGCCCAGGTCTAGCAGCTTCCTTGAGCATGTCTGCCATGAAACAGTTTTACTGTCATTTTAACTACTTCTGGGTCTCACTGCCAACACCTGGAGATATCTTTTTTGTTTTGTTTTGTTTCTTGTTTTTTTTGCTGAGGAAGATTCGCCCTAAGCTAACATCTGTTGCCAATCTTCCTCTTTTTGCTTGAGAAATATTAGCCCTGAGCTAACATCTGTGCCAGTCTTCCTCTATTTTGTATGTGGGCCACCGCCACAGCACAGCCACCGACAAGTGGTGTAGATCCACGCCTAGGAACCAAACTCAGGCCACTGAAGCACAGCACAACCAAACTCAACCACTAGGCCACAGGGCTGGCCCACCTGGAGGTACTCTTGTCAGGAGAAAGTAGAAAGCCACAACCTGAATCTACAGTAGCTGGAACATTGAGCTGGAAGGCCAGAGATCCAGGTTCTAGTCTTGGCCCTGCTGTGTGGCCTGGGGAAGTGGTTTAGCCTCTCTGAGCCTTGGGTTCTTCATTTACCTCTATCAGTGCATAGAATTGGTCCCGAGGAGCCGGGAACATCCAGAGGGCATGAACCTGAGCCTGACTGGGGTTTCATCCCTTCATTGGACCTATATTGATCCGAAAAGAAGAGTTATGTAGTGCTTAGAAAGAATCTAAGAATTAGAATCAAAAGACCTGAGTCTGAATCCTGGCTTTGCCACTTAGAGGCTGTTGGAATTTAAGCAGTTCCATTAGCCTCTATGAGCCACTTTCTCATGTGGGAAATGAGGATAAGACATCACTGAGCACACAGGACCATTGTGAGAAATGAACAGGACACGTACGTGATGGTGGTCCGTAAACTGTCCGCATGGGAAGTGCCTGAGCCCTGGCACACTGCTCACCTTGCGTGCATCTACAAGACATTCAGGAACCTTGAACAACTCAGCTGTGGTCCTCCTCTGTGCAAGGTTGAGCTCCAGGGGCACCCAAAAGGGAGTCCTCTCAAGAGTCAACACATCCTGAGAAAGCCCCAGGGGACTATAAATTCTCTTTAAATCTTAGGATGCAGAATAAAGAACAAATAGGACCTCTGCTCTCAAGGACAGTTATAACTTGAAAAAGGAGACAGGGCCAATGGATATGTCACTAGCAGGCTGTAACTAGTACAATTGTTCCTTTATGCCTTGGAAAGGGAAACTAGTGAGGGAGATAGAACCAGTGGATGGGATAAACCTAGGGAAGCTTCCTAGAGAAGGAGTTCCAGCAGCTGTGAGCCACTACAGAGCTGTCCTTCTCCCAGACCTCTAAGTAACAACCAGAGACAACCACCCCTTCAAACTGCTGACTCAGGAGGGCTGGAAAGAGGAGGGAAATGGGGGGGGGGGGTTGGCGAAGCCAGGACTCTGAGACAAAGCTGTTCCCACTGAATGTAAACAGGCTCTATGCCTGCCCTGCAGTGTTCCCAAGCCCCTTCCCTGTGCACTGAGTCATGAAATGCATGTGTTTAGCTTTAGATACTTGAAGATTGTGATGAGCAGGCTTCTATCAGATTGAGGGCTCCCCAAGCTTAAGAGTTGTAATCTGCCCTCAGACTGGGGATTGCCTGGGGACCAGGTCCCCTCTCACACCAGGGCTGTTAGTCAATGAGTCTCAAGAATCCCCTTCAATTCCACCGGGATTTACTGAGCACCTCTTAATGCCTAGCACCATGCTGGACACTGAAACAATTGCTTTATGGCCCTTCCCCTCTAAGGGTACAGGTATAGGCAAGCACCATGATATAATTTGTGAAGCTGCAGAACTCAGATGTGCTAGCAAGCACACAGTCAGAGCTAAGTGTCTAAAGGCTATAAATCTTAAAAATCTGATATGCCAAGTCTTACAAAACTCCAAATACCTAAGTTTAATAATTCCACAAACTTCCGTCATTTCCTCCTTGATATGATAAAACGTGATCATCAATTGCTGTCCACACAGATATCTCACTACTTCTGGTCTACAGGGACAAAATGAAGAACCAGGTTCATACATTCACACCTCAGGCAAGGGTAACTTAGAGCCACAAGATCTAGCACTGCTGTCAATACCATGTTGCATCAACCTCTTCTACATATTAATAAAATAGATGTACTAGTTAGGAGGGTTTCCTTATTAAATGTTATATTGGGTGGCAGAGGCAAGCATGGAGTACTCCTCCCCCAAATCTACCAAAAAGATCCGGGCACGGCTTCAAAAAGGCTTCTGGCTCTTCCCTAATGCTTAGCATAGTGCCCAGTACACTGGTGTTGGCTGCATTAATGAATAAAGCATTAGGATCTTAAATCTGATAGAAAGAAAGAAATATACCTTTCTTATAAGGACATGAACCCTGCAAAGCAACATAGGCAATCTGAAGATTATTAGCTCTTCGGGGTCACCTGCGCTTGAGGTTCCCAAGCTTTGGAATTTGACAGAGAAGTAACATCTCCATCAAAAAAATGCGGTAACTATCATATGATTGCCAAATTTTCATTTTGACAAGTAAGGACATGAGAGAAACAACTACAACCTCTGTCACCATCACTTTTAAAAGAAATGATATTTTAATACAAAAAAAGGTAGGAAGGCCCTGATTTCAGAATTAAAGACTCTCCTTCACAAGAATGCACCGCTGATGTCCTCTTACTTACATTTCCCTAAGGACTAGAGAAAACAGTAATGAACCAACATGTGCCCACAGATCAGTGCTGGAACCATGGTCCACATCTTCTCCCCTTCTCCAGTACAGCCCAACTAAATAAAACTGTTCTTTATTATACCCACGTTTCCCTCCAGAATCTCCATGGGGCCTCAGCTTCAAGCTGAGAACCCCATCTTCTCCAACAGATCCTGGATTCTCCCTCATGGCTATTCTCTGAGGGGGGAGCACCCAGGTTCATGCCGTCTATACTAAAACTAGTGCCACCAGTTTCTGAAAGACACAGTCTAATCAGGATCATCTGGACCATTAAAACTCCACCATAATTAACAGTCAATTCAATATTGGAGCTGTCATTTCAACACAGAGCTGGGTGGAACGAAGTTCAAATGTGGTATCTTAAACAACAGGATTTGCATTCCAGTGATGAAAGATGGAGGGAGCATGCTGTTCTTCATACACAGAGGTGATGCTACTGGCCGAGGGTCAACGGGGAACTTTTGAGTTGTTTTTCTAGATAAGAGCTTACCTCCAGCCATTCATGGACTCCCTCCTGGTCTTGGTGTCCAAGGGCAGGCCAAGCTGGTGGTAAAATTGTGCTGTTACAGGAGAAAACAATGAAAAGGACAGCATCACCTTCAACACTTTATGTAACAATTCCCTCTTTACCGGCCTATGAAACATTACTATTCCTATTTGATAGACAAGGCAACTGAGTGTCAGAAAGCTTGCTTGTTCATTCAACAGTCAATAAACACTTACAGAGGGCCTCCTATGCTCAGGCACTGAGGAGGGTGCTGTGACTCTGCCCAAGGTGACACAGCTGGCAAGCAGAAAAGGGAGCACCCAAGACCAGTCACCTAACCTCAAGTCCATTGCATTCCACAGTGTCTCTTAGGCTGGGGTCAGTGTTGATGCAGATAACCACAGACCTCAGAGCCAAAGGGCCATAGTGGGAAGAACAACATGGTCAATCTCTTTAGGTTGCTCCTCTGCAAGGAAAGTCAGTACCACTGATCAATTTTCTCAGACACCTGCTGTCTCCAGGAACAAATCAAAGTAGCCACAGTGACCCATTAGTTATAGCAGTATCCATGGTGTGCAGCCCAAAGCTGGGTGGCAGGGGTTCACGCACTCTCTCAAGCTAGCGGGCAAGACAGAAACATCCCAGTGAAGCACACGTGAACCCTTGGGGAAGAAACTTTTACCAAAAGAGGGTCAGGTTCTCTCTAAAGCTCTGAGAGTTTCCAAGCAATGGGATCAGAAGCCAAACAGTGGGATTTGAAAGGTCCTACTCCTTGGACCGAGGACTGAGATCGCCAGTATAACTCCCTAGGCCGCCTCAAGAGTCTGGAACCTATTCCTCAAGCCCGGCCCTCTGGTTATGGCATGTGTCCTATGCCAGAGGTTTTGGAAAAAATGTCTCCCATCCACTCTGGCTGGCCAGCCTGCCATGCAGTTGCATCAGAGAAGGGGCCCGTCACACACTAGGCTGCCCATCTCAAGAATGCCAAAATCTTCATGTATAGGCCACACTGTGCCTGCAATCACAGGGAGGTGGGGCAACAGCCATGGGTCACGTAACTGAGGCCAAATGTGAAAGGCTGGCCCAGATCAATAGATGAGTCAGGGCTCAATGTATAAAACCCCGGGAGCTCCAGTGCTCCTCACATAGCCAGCATCTCCTCTCCTCACTCACCCTTCCTGGTGCTTTGGGTAAGTGTGGGTTCTCCTGGCTCTCATCTTCCCAGCTGGTCTTGCCCAGGCCTGCACAGACTAGGTGGACCAGGGGACGATGGACAGGCAAGGCCTCTCTGCCCTTTAGGTGCTACTGGACCTCTGCCTTCCCAACTGCATTCATGTTTAGAGGGAATTCAGGCAGGAAAGAGAGGAGGGCTGAGCTGCTGCTGTGCAGATGGGGTTTCTGGTCTTCTGACCAGAATGGAAACTCCACAAAACTAACTCATGTCTCTCCCACACCCCTCTAGGGGCAGGCCTGGTGCTGAGCACAGAGGGGCACTCTGCAGAGACTGTCCCAGGCAGCCTGTGAATGGGCTGGAGGGACCTCATGAACCTGTCAGGAAGAGAAGCTGAGCCTACTCTCAGAGAGGAGGGAGAATGACTCAGAGAATGCTACAGATGACAGAGATTTTAGGAGCCACAGGAACTCAATGCCCGTTTTACAGAGGGAGGTGTTCTGAGAGGGAAATCATGTGAGATGCTGGGACACAGGTTCCTTCCTACTAGTTATAGTCCCCTCGACCAAGCTTGGACTTAAGCAAATAGTAAAGGCAGTGGCTGATGTCTTCTGGTTAGAGATACTGGTCCAAAGGACCATCGGAGTCCACACAGGACCACGGGGGAGTCTGCCTTTTCTGATAACTGACCCAGGGTCATGGCTGAGCTCAGTGAGATAGACCAAGAGTTTGAACTAAAGACTTTCACAGAGAACGAGGTGCAACAGCCCTCTGACATTCCAACAAACCTCCCTCTGTTGTGCCGGGGATGGGTAAAATCCCCCACCCTAGGTGGAGGTTTGTGTAATTTTCTATCTGCATCAGAGAATCAGTGCTGGAGAAGACCTGAGAGACGAAGCGCTCGAACCCTCTCATTTTGCAGGAAGTGAGAAGACAGGTGGGAGTGTGGGTCATTTGCCCAAAAATCATACAGCAGAGGCCAGAGGCAGAGCTAGGAGAGAGAAATGAGCAACACTGTGGGCTATGTAAAGCTTGGTAAAGACTTTCGGCCAGGGGACGCAATTTTTTTCTAAAAGCACAATCCTAGGAGTCCCAGCTGAGAGCTCTGTGGGATCTGAGCAGAGAGAGAGAGCCTCTAGCCTGGCCCAGGCGGTGCCGCTCCAGGATGATGGGTGTTGCCATGGGTGCAGCTGCCTCTTCCCTGCATCCTCCTGCCGCTGGTCCAGTGGTGCTCTCTGCTCTCTTTCCAGGGTTCCTTCCCTCCTTAGACAAGATGTCTTACCAGAAAAAGCAGCCCACTCCCCAGCCCCCAGTGGGCTGCGGAAAGACCTCCGGCGGCGGCGGCGGCGGCGGCGGCGGCGGCGGTGGTGGCTCTGGCGGCTGCGGCGGCTCCTCTGGGGGCGGCAGCGGCTGCTACTCCAGTGGCGGCGTTTCCTCCGGGGGCGTTTCCTCCGGGGGCTGCAGTGGCTACTACTACGGCGGCGGCGGCGGCGGCGGCGGCGGCAGCTCAGGCCAGCAGGTCCAGTGCCAGAGCTACGGAGGCGTCTCTAGCGGCGGCTCCTCCGGGGGCAGCTACTCCGGCGGCGGCTCCAGCTGCGGCGGCGGCTCCTCCGGGGGCAGCTACTCCGGCGGCGGCTCCAGCTGCGGCGGCGGCTCCTCTGGCGGCGGCTCCGGCTTCTTCTCCTCGAAGCAGCCCACCCAGACCTCCTGCGTGCCCCAGCCGAGTTGCGGAGGGGGGTCGTCTGGCGGCGGCGGCTGCGGTGGCGGCTCCTCCGGGGGCGGCGGCGGCTGCTTCCCCATTGGCGGGGGCGGCGGCGGCGGCTCTGGCTGCGGCGGTGGCTCCTCCGGGGGCAGCTCCGGTAGTGGCAAGGACGTCCCAGTCTGCCACCAGACCCAGCAGAAGCAGGCACCTACCTGGCCAAGCAAGTAAGGCCCCCTGGACGCCACGGAGGCGAAGGAGCTGGAGGTGTTCTCCGTGGGTGCCGATGGGGTCCCATGATACTGCCCTGAGGTTTCCATATCCTTCATGTCTTAACCCACCTAGAAGAGGCCATTGAGCCCTCAGGCTGCGTCTTGTTCTGCAGTTCTTCTTCTTGGTTTCTGTACAACTGCCTCCCAACCCCAATGCCTCCTCAGTCAATAAATTTGCAATTCATGAGAATTCATGGGTCTCCAGGAATCTTTGTAGCTTCCAAGTTCGTTCGTTCCATTCCATTCCTCTCCTTTCCTCCATTCACTTATCCACACTTAACGTTCACTCCACAAATATATTTATTCTATTGGGGGGAAGGTGGGTAGATATTTGGGAGTCACCAGGGGAGGGAGGAATGGCTGCCAACGGGTGATTAAAGATGTGAAGTCTCTGGTTTATGGCTTAAGACCTTGTGGGGATCCTAAAACACAAAGATCTTGGAACGAGACTCCAATAAACAGCGCCCCGAGGGTTGAGTAGCCACCACAGGTCTCCTCATTGAGCTCAATGCTTTTTTAAGACAGGATGCCCTGGGAAGTTGCTATCTTGTTGCTATGTGCAAGGTCGGAAAGAAAGGTGGCTGCACATTAGGAGCACCAGCTTATGCTACCCAGACTCACAGAAGAAGGAATAATTATATCTGATGTTTATGAGCCTCTACAGTGTGTAGGATTCCTCTACAGAGGAAGTAGAGGAGCTATTTCCTGCTCTCTTGAAGGAGTTTCACCAAACTTAGGAAAATACAGCATAAGAGCATGAGATGTTAAACACCAGTACCTGAGAGGTCATGGGGAAACACAGGAAGCTTTCCAATTAACAAAGAAGCTCAGTTGCTCTGTTAATTGCATGATGTAGAAGATCAAGAGATGTAGAACATCAGCCCCATCAGGAATTTTCCAGGCCCCATTTCATATCCCCATTCTACCAGCCCTAAGAAAATGCCGATTTATTGATTTACTCAAGGCAAAACACCAGCTACATCAAAAAGTCAACGTGTTCTCCCTACCCAGTCACCGCTGGAGACAAAAAGACAAACTATCCCTCCCCAGCTCTTCCATTTACAGGGTCACCACCGCCTTCGCTATTTTACAACAGTAACAAATGAAGATCAAAACAGGTCCAACTACTGCATTATTTTTATATGTTTTTTTTTTAAATGAAAATAGAACTTTTAATTCTGTACCAGAGGAGTATGTGCATTTCTCCTTATTGCTCCTGCTAAGTATAACTAAAATACCTGGACATAATATATAAAACAAACATAAGAAGAATCTAAAAAGTGGAGAGAAGAAGGCAGAGTAGCTAAAGTCCTCAGAATGTGAGAATTGACACAGTGGTAAGTTCCCCGGTTTTTCTTTTTGCCTCCTAAGTATCCCAAATTGGGCGCTAGAAAGTCTGCAACCAAGAAATGCCAACAGGTGCAGACAAAAAATAGCCCCAAGAAAATCTTGGGGAAACAGGTGACCTAGCAAGGCAGAAATCTTTTTGGACAATATCCACCCTACTTTAGCCAAACATCTTGGGGAAAAATGAATGGGAATACTGGACTTCCATCTGTTCTCAGTGTAGAGGTAATAGCTCCCGCACACATCTCACCAGTGCAGTATTATCAGAGGCCTGCTATAGTAAAAATTTAAATAAGATCTGGAGTCTCATAATATAATACTAAAAATGTCCAGCACACAATCAAAAGTCACTCATCGTACTAAGAACCAGGAAAATCTCAACCTGAATGAGAAAAGATGCACTCTGTATGCTAACATGGAAATGATACAGATTTGGGGATTATCTGATAGGGATTTTAAAGAAGACATTATAAAAACGCTTCAACAGGAAATTATAAATACACTTGAAACAAATGAAAAAATAAAAAGTCTTGGCAAAGAAATAGAAGTTATAAGGAAGAATCAACTGGAAATTTTGGAACTAAAAAATATAATAACCACTTGTAGAACTGAATCTTAGAATTGAAAAATATAAAAACTCACTGAGTGGGCTCAACAGCAGAATGGAGATCACAGAATAAAGAATCAGTGAACTCAAAAATAGATCAATAGAAATTATCCAATTTCAACAAAAGAAAGAAAATAGACTGAAAAAAAAAATAACAGAGCCTCAAGAATCTGTGGGACAACAAGAGAACTAGCACTCATGTAATCGAGTCCCAGAAGGAGAGGAGAGTGTGGGACTGAAAAATATTAGAAGAAATAATCACTCAAAATTACCCAAATTTGGTGAAAGTCATAAACCTACAGATTCAAGATGCGTCAACCTCAAACAGGATAAACCTAAAGAAATCCACACCAATATACCACTCACAAAAATTAACTCAAAATAGATTAAATGCTTAAAACTTAAGACCTGAAACTGTAAGACTCCTAGAAGAAAATGTGGGCGAAAACCTCCTTGACATTGGTCTTGGCAGCAATTTCCTGGATATAATAGCAAAAGCACAAGCAACAAAAGCAAAAATAAACAAGCAGGACTACATCAAACTGAAAAGCTTCTGCACAGCAAAAGAAACAATCAACAAAATAAAAAGGCAACCTACAAAATAGGAGAAAATATTTGCAAATTATATAACTGATAAGGGGTTAATATCCAAAACCTACAAAGAATTCATTCAACTCAATAACAAAAAAACTAATAATCCTATTTAAAAATGGGCAGGGGAACTGAACAGACATTTTTCCAAAGAAGATATACATAGCCAACAAGTACATGAAAAGGTGCTCAACATCGCTAATCATCAGGGAAATGCAAATCAAAACCACAATGAGATAACACCTCACACCTGTTAGACGATTTTCATCAAAAAGTCAAGAGATAACAAGTGTTGGTGAGGGTGTGGAGAAAAGGAAACCCTTGTGCACTGTTGGTGGGAACGTAAGTCGGTACAGTTATTATGGAAAACCATATGGAGATTCCTCAAAAAGTTAAAAATAGAACTGCCATATGATCCAGCAATTCCACTTCTGGGTATTTATCTGAAGAAAATGAAAACACTAACTTGAAAAGATATATGCACCCCCATGTTCATTGCAGCATTATTTGCAATAGCCAAGATATGGAAACAACCTAAATGTCCATTGATGAATAAATGATATATACACAATGGAATATTATTCAGCAATAAAAAAGAATAAAATCTTGCAATTTATGACAATATGGAAGGACCTTGAGGGCATTATGCTAAGTGAAATGCCAGACAGAGAAAGACAAATACCAGATAATCTCACTTATAAGGGGAATCTGAAAAAAAAGGACAAAACAAGCTCATAAATACAGAGAACAGATTGGTGGTTGAGATGGGGGAGGTGAAATGAGTGAAGGGAGTCAAAAGGTACAAAATTCCAGTTATAAAATAAATAAGTTATGGGGATATAATGTATAGCATGGCAATTATAATTAATAATACTATATTGCATATTTGAAAGTTGCTAAGAGAGTAAATCTTAAAAGATGCATCACAAGAAAAAAAACTGTAACTATATACAGTGACAGATGTTAACTAGTCTTATTGTGGTGATCATTTTGCAATATATACAAATATCTAATCATTATGTTGTACACCTGAAACTAATATAATGTTGTATGCCAATTATACCTCAATAAAAAAAATAAATAAATAAGTAAATAACTACCATCTGATCCACCAATCCCACTTCTGAGTGTATATCCCAAGGAATTGGCATCAGGATCTCTCAGAGATATCTGCACTCCAGTGTTGATTGCAGCATTACTAATAATAGCCAAGATATGGAAGTAACCTAAGAGTTCATCAACAGATGAATCCCTAAGAAGATGTGGTATATATATACAATGGGATACTATTCAGCCATGAGAAAGAAGGAAATCCTGCCATTTGCGACAACTTGGATGGACCTTGAGGGCATTATGTTAAGTGAAATAAGTCAGACAGAGCAAGATACTGTGTGATATCACTTATATGTAGAATCTAGAAAAGACAAATTCAGAGAAACAGAGAGAAGAGTGGTGGTTATCAGGGGTTATAGGGTGGAGGAAATGGGAAGATGTTGATCAAGGGATATAACTTCCAGTTATAAAATTAACAAGTTTGGGGAATCTAATGTACAGCATGGTGATTATAGCCAATAATACTGTCATATACTCAAATGTTACTAACAGAGTAAATCTTAAATGTTCTCATCACAAAAAAGAAATGGTAACTACATGACAGGATGGAGGTAGTAGCTAATGTTACGGTGGTGATCATTTTGCAATTTACAAATGTATCAAATCAACACATTGTGCACCTTAAACTTACACAATATTATGTGTCAATTACATCTCAATAAAGCTGGGGAAAAAAACATATAATAAAGATGTTAATAATAGTTATACATCAAAAGAAAAGAAAAGAAATCCACACCAAGAAACATCATAAGCAAACTTCTGAAAACTAAAGACAAAGAAAAAAATCTTGAAAGCAAGTGGAGAGAAATGACACATCATCTATAGGGAAACTGTGATTTGAATGACAGCAAATTTCTCATCAGAAACCTTGAAGGCCAGAAAGAAGTGGCATAGCATCTTTCAAGTACTGAAAGAAAAGAACCTTCAACTTAGAATTCTATATCCAATGAAAATATTCTTCAGGAATGTAAATGAAATAAAGATAGTCTCAGATGAAAGAAAACTAAGAAAATCTTTTGCCAGCAGATCTATCCTAAAAGAATGGCTAATGGAAGTTCTTCACACAAAAAGGAAATGATGAAAGAAGACATCTTCAAATTCAGGAATGAAGAACAATATAAAGTATAAAATTATGGGTCTATATAAGACAGTATCTTTCTTCTCTCAAGTTTTCTAAAATTATGTTTGACAGTTGAAGAAACAACCATAAGGTTGACGCAGTTCTCAATGTAGGTAAAGGAAATGTTTAAGACAATTATATTATAAATGGGAAGAGTAAAGGACCTAAATGGAGATAAGGTCTACATTTCACTCAGAGATAAAATTTAAATATCAATAGACTGTGGTAAGCTATGTATATATAATACCATATCTACAGCAACCACTAAAAAAAAAAAAACTATATAAAGAGACACACACAAACACAATATAGATAAATCAAAACAAAATTCTAAAAAGAAAAGTACATTTTTATTGTAGCATAGCATACAGTTATACAAGTGCACACAATACAAGCAACAGATCAATTAATTT